TGCATGTGTGCGTTTGACAGAACTGCCAAAGTTACTCGTATATTCAAAATATTACTACAAAAATATGTTGTAGGTGAGTGTTTGGGGTGTATTTTGATTTCATTTTCGAAGTATTCGAAATATATCTTGAACACTACCTCATTGTAAGTAAGATAAGAATAAAACAAACAATAAGTTGGTGGAGAATTGAGCCTTGGAAGTTTTATGGCAATATAGAATAGGTTCAGCGTTTCACTCATATAGATTTCTTCAGGATTGTGATTTTTTTAAAAACAACAAATCTTCTTCAATCATCATCATCATCATCATCATCATCATCATCATCATCATCATCATCATCATCATCATCATCATCATCATCATCATCATCATCATCATCACCAGCATCACCAGCATCACCATCATCATCATCATCATCATCAAGTATGAGTTTCTCTAGTCTCTGGAAAAACGTTTGAACTAAATGCATGTCGTTGCTAGACAACGGGTCCACAGTATGTTCTAGGCTGTCAGTGCAGAGGGTTAGACTTTAGTCTGTTAGATTGTTGTCTGTTGCTGTTCAGCATGACAAAATATATAAAAAGGATCAATTGTCATTTTATGTATAGCTTTATTTCTCCGTAGTCCAGTTCAAAATGTCTTCTAAGGAATTCGAACCAACTCCGCCTGCTCCGTAGTCCAGCATGATACCAACTGACCTGGCCAGAAAGAAAATGAAATGAGTTGATATAAATAATATAAGTACCATAAAACCACATTTTCGATGTGGTACCCCCCCCCCCCCAAAAAAAAAAAAAAAAAAAAAGAAAAAAAGCTGTACGTGCCTGTCATTGCGAGCCCGTGGAATCATTCGTGATGGTAAAGGATTTTGTCTGCCTGGGTGCCGATGTAAGATCTTGAGAAATTCCAGAATGATCAAAGGTTTGAATGACAGGCTCGAGGTGATAGCCTTGTTAGGTTGTCTGGGGGGCGGATGTGTAGTTAGACACCGACGTAGAAACTGAGAAATTAATGTGAAGATGTTTTGGAGGGAGATGAGTGATGTAGAGAGAGAAAGGGGGCGAAGGTAAATTGGGAGAGTATTTAGGGTGAGTGGTGGTGTGGGGGACGGATTCAGGGAGGAGAGAGAGGGGGGAGGGGGGAGAGACAGTGAGATACCCAGACGCACTCAGACACAGATACATATAGAGAGAGAGAGAGAGAGAGAGAGAGAGAGAGAGAGAGAGAGAGACAGACAGA